CTACGTGATTTTTATCCCTGGAAAGCTAGCACTTGACTGTGTGCTGTGCATAGCTTCTGACTATTAACCACTTCCTTGTCTTGCTTGAGTCTGAGCTTTTTGCTCTTTTAAATCACCTCTTAAAATGACCTTTTATCTCCCTGCCTCCCCCAGGGTGTCTCTTCAGGATTTCTTTCTCACTAGATGCTGGCTAAGATAATGCTAGTAGCATTATCAGATGATGAAAGAGAGAGAGAAGTTTTTCCCCCTTAGAATGACACTTGCAAGAACTCTGATCTAGTAACAACAACCTAATATCCCATCTCTAGCTAGCAAATATGGGGTGGTAGTCTTGCTGCAGGCAAATATTCTGCAGTGACACATAGCAGTACAGGTGCTTGACTCTCTTTTTTCTTTCTTAATCAGGCTTGTTTACAGTTCTGCTGGAGAGGAGGATGAAGACTTAACGTTCAGAAACTAAATAATGAAAAATGTGACAGACGGGACTACCTCCAGAATGAAATGGCAGTGTATTGCTGTAGGAGATGGGGTTGTGTTGCCTATTCTCACCCTTTAAACCAGGCATAGGCAAACTCGGCCCTCCAGATGTTTTGGGACTACAGCTCCCATCAACCCTGACCACTGGTCCTGTTAGCTAGGGATGATCTGGAGGGCCAAGTTTGCCTATGTCTGCTTTAAACAAAAGGTTTCATTTAATTTCATTTTGTTTATAAAACAGCAGCATACAAAATACAAGGTAGTACAAACAAAAGCAGATTGATATATGTTACAATGAACCCAATGATGTATAAGGTGATGCATTTTCCTCAGTTTTATCACTCCACTACATCACAAACCCCTCTTTTTTAAAAAGGTTGTTTCATTGGCTATCCTCCCTATCCTTTATTAGGTTTGTTAATTTAATCATGTACACCATATCCCAAATCTAAACAGTGGGAGTCCTTATTTTCTTCCTGTTTGCAAAAATCAACATTCTGGCAGCTGTTAGAAAGATGCACCAAATCGTTTACAAATCCAAACAATATGAACAATTTATCTAATGGTAGCTTGTAACCTGTTATTATTTCAATTTCATTTATTATCTGTTACCACAATTTTCTTTAGGGCAACCCCAGAAGATGTGGGCCATGTCTGTATTTATTACTTTGCATCCCCAACACATGCTGTTAGCATAAAACAACAACAAAATGTTTTAACGACTACATGAAAGCTCCTGGAATGCAACAGAAGGCAGCACACTCAGCCTCTGCAAAATTTTATATGCGTATGTTCAACACATTTCACAAAGTTATGATGGAAAGGGCTGAGTTGTGTCGCTTGTCACCAAAGATGTCATAGGTCACTATCTACTGTCATTTCAAAAACTTGCACAATTACATTGCATTATTTGCCCCACCTGTTACGTAAGTGTAAACTGGCAGGGAGGAACATTGCATTTTCCCAGTCAAAATATTGTTTTTTGACAGCTGAGAAATAAGTGATTTGCCTGCAATAGAAGCAGTACTACCTTGAGGAAAGATGTCTCCATCTCTTGTGACAGCTGAGAGCTATGTAATACTGGACAGAAATAATTGTCTGGAAAGACTCTGTCTGCATTCTAATTCACTCTTTGGTACAGCTTCACTTCAAATGGACATGCTTTAGAACTCTCACTCCCTCATTAGAATGGGGAAGTGAGAGCTCTGAAAAATACTTGCTCTTAAAAGGAAATTTTGGGGGGATTTTGGGATCGAGTTTTCCACCAATTGTATATTCCCACCCCCTCACGTAATTACAGATTGTGCTGTTCCATTTGAACCATAGCCCAAATCTGAACCAGAGCTCTAGGAAGTGACCTAACATAAACAAGTGTTTCTCAAACTTTTGAAGGTTGGGACCCCTTCTAAACTTCCTGTGCCCTTTGTCTCCCTTGACCTCTCCCCACCCTGCAAACTCAGATCTGGTTCAGTGGATATTATGAGGTCATATTATGCACTCGTGTGCATGCAGTGTGTAGGTGTTCATGTAAAGAATGAACAATGACTTGGCAAGAGCTTTCACCTGCCCCTCCATCAGCATCCAATGGAGGCTGGCTGGTCTGTTAGGGTGAATGGGACACTCCACACTGATCTCAGTCTACTTTTCGCCAGACATCACCTGCCTGCTTTCTTACTCCCAAAGAGTCCAGTGGGTGGCATTGCTTGTCAACTGCCCCACCAACCTCAGTCTGACCTCAGCCAGCCTCTCACCTAATGATTCATCCACACATCAGCTTGTGCCATGCCTAGAAATCATGGGTCCGAGCGGTTTCCCCCTTGCTCCACTCCTTTCCAAAGGAAAACCTGCTTTTAGCGATAGATATGAACAAATGGCAATCTGAGGAAATTTTGGATCCCCCTCCGCACAACTCCTATTAATGAAGCTGCCATTCACACATGCACAGCTGTCTCAAATGTCCATCACCATTCTGAAGTGAAAAATGAATGTAGCTTAGGTTTTCTAGTCAGTTTGAGGAAAAACACACATAAAAAAGCAGTATTTATCAATAGACTTCAAAACAAGCAGCTGGAGAACACTGGATGCAGAGTAAGCAGTAATGTGAACATACCCTAAGTGCATTAAAAATATGACACTTTTCCTTCCACACAGGAATGAAACCGAACAGTACAAACCAATGCATTACAGATACAGATGAGGCAGCTAATATGGCTTAATGCATTCTTTGCAAAAGCCAACAAAACAAAACAAAGCACTCCAACAAGTTAAATTTAAAAATGGACATCAAGAGCTTTCTCAATGGGTCCCAGCCCTTTTCCATTTACTTTTTATGATCTTGACAATAAAGCAAACAGCGCTCAAAGGTGAACACTGAAGAGCGAAGGATCTTACTCTGAAAGAGTGGCAGCCATGACGGAGGTTAGACGTTCAGAGAGGCTCATCATTCTTCCTCCTTGCTACACTTGTTGTCACAGCATCATTTCCTGACCTGTTTTCTTTTCAAAGCAAGCTTGCCTGCCTGTAGATGGCAAGGCTGGGTGCAGTTGATATTGGAAATGAATGTCACGCTGAGCTTCAGCAGCAGTATGCAAAAAAGAACAGAGAAAAAGAAAAAGCTCTAAGCTACAGGAAGAATTCCCATTTTTGCTAGAGAATGGCAAGTGCTGGAAAAGAAGGGGCAGAAACACGATGTAAACGTCGAGAACCTTGAATTGCAACTGGGGTTTCATGGTATTTTACTTGTGCCACACCTGTACTTCTCTGGATTGAAACGACCCACGCAGTTTCATCCCAGGCCACCTTCCCTTCCTCACGGCTCTGAGGAACTGAGGCGAGGGAGCGACCCAACTTGGCCACAGCCGCCTCGCGCCTAAGTTCCTGGGCGTCACGTGGGAGCGCGTCTCCCGCCAACCGCGCGTCGCGTCGCCTGAGAGCGAGAGAGAGAAGGCGGCCCTGGGGACGTGGTGTTTCTTCTGGCATTGGAGGGGATCTCAGGGAAGGGGCGGGATGCCTCCTCCAGCTCCGAGGAGTCTCCACCTGCTCCTTAAATGCGCGCCACAATGAGCGAGGGAAGAAGCGGCGGCGCTTCTCGCGGGCGCTGCTCCGCGAAGGGAGCCAAAGAAAGGCAGCCGCTACCTTCTTAGCAGCGGGAGCTTTCTCGCCCCCCTCCCTCCCTCCTGCTCACGTCGGGCGGCCCCGCGGGCCCTCTTCCACCCGCAACTTCGCTTTGCATGTCAGGCCGGGCAAACTTCCTGCAACTTGGCGCGAGTTCGCAAGCGCCGAAGGAGGGCGTCCCTTTCCCGCCTTCCCCGCCCTGGTGGATTTATTTTGCCCTCAGGTCGACGCCGGCTCCGCTCTCTTCCCAAGACGGCGCTGCTTCGTCGTCTCGAGGGAGCTAAGCGAAGCATGCCAAGCTGAAGGGGCGCTTATTGCGCGGCGCTCTTAACAAGGGCGAGCAGCAATGAAAACCCGCCAGAGAGTGAGGCGTTAAAACTTAACAGATGCATGTACAGAGTATGGTGCCTTTCGACGGAGCCGCCGCCGCCGGGAGCTGCTGCTACTGGGCTTGACTCTTGAGGCCGCTTTATGACTTTCCGGCGGAGATTTCCTTATGGCGTAATTGCCGTGAGCTGCGCCTCTCTCACACACAGACACTGCTGCTCATTTGGCCCAGGAAGCCGAGGGCGCGTCTGGGTGCCTCCTCCGACTTTCTGCTCTCGTCCGTTTTATGTGGCTGCGACTTTCTCTTGGACGGAGAGCAACAGCTTGCCTGCCCGCCGCCCGCCGGAGAAGCGCTCGCCCTGCAAAGTGCGCTGACAAGCCAAGGTGGCAGCAGGAGCCTTGGGCATGAGTTTGCCTCTCTCCGAGGCTGCCCGGCTCCCCCCCCTCCTGGCCGTCCTTTTCCAATTTCTATAAATCAAGACAGCAGCAGACTTCTCTCTTTCTCTGGGCTCGCCAACCCCCCCCCACTCGTTCCTCTCCCTCCCTCCTTCCCTCCTCCAAAGCAGCAACTCACTATCCTCGTGTTATTTGTGGATGCGCCCCTCTCGCTCGGAAAGCCGAGCGGCGCTCTGTTGCTTCGCAGGCGCTCGCTTTTAACTCCAAAGTTTCATACGGTGTTTTTTTGTTTTTGTTTTAAAGGCGGCATCTGAGGAGGCGAAGCGGTTCGCGGGGGGAAACGAAGCGAGCGAGCCGGAGCTTGAAGAGAGCGGGCGCGCCTGAGAGGAGCCGTCGCTTTTTCTCTTCTCCCGCCTCAGAAGCCTCGGCGCTGCCTGCTGCGTGCTGCGTGCGGCAAGGTGGCCCCCACGGCTCTGCCTGCCCCCTTCCTGCTCGGCGGGAGCTGTGGGGAAAGCGCGAGGCTCCTGCAGCCGCCCCAGTCTCTTTTCTCCCGCCTTCTCCTCGTCGCCTCCTCAGCGCCCGGAGGAAGCTGCTCGCCTCCGCCCTCCAGCCAAGCGGGGACCCGCTGCTGCTGCTGCTGCTGCCGGCGCCGCCGCTGCTGCCGCTTTTGCCCCCGCCGTGATGCCATGCCCCGCAGCCACAGCCGAGGAGACGACGAGGGCGGCTCCGCCGGGCTCTGGCTGAAGAGCAGCACGGCGGGGTGTCGCGGCGGCGGGGGCAGCGGCATGAAGGATGTGGAGTCTGGCCGGAGCAGGGTGCTCCTGAACTCGGCGCCCTCGCGAGGGGACGGCTTGCTCCTCTTGGGCACCGGCGGCGGGCTCGGCGGCTTGCGGGAGAGCCGGCGAGGCAAGAAACGAGGAGCCCGGATGAGCCTGCTGGGGAAGCCGCTCTCCTACAGCAGCAACCCGGCCTACCGGCGGAACGCCAAGTACAGGAGGCTGCAAAACTATCTCTACAACGTGCTCGAGAGACCCCGCGGCTGGGCGTTCATCTACCACGCCTTCGTGTGAGTAGTAGCGCCGCGGGACGCGCGCTCAGGGGGCTGTTGATAGGGCCACCTGGGAGGGAGGGGCGCCCACCTGGCCGGTGCGCGCGCCCGTGTGTGGGGGGGGGGGTTGAGGAGTGCGGTGGGTTCTAACGCGGTGGGATGTTGCTGGACTACCTTGGCGATGGTTCTCTGCAATGAGCAGCCTTTGCGTGCTACCCAGATGTGGTGCTGTCTCAAAGTGAGGCATCATCTACTCCGGATGACTTCACTTGGGTTTTTAAATGTCTATTTAAAGTGTTTTGTTTTGTTTTCTTAGCCCACTCTTTATTGCAAGAAAAACAAAAGCTGGTTGCACCTAAAACATTCTACATATACATTTTGTCACTCTTTGGGTTCTTCTCACACATCATGCCCTTAAAAGCTCCCTGTCCACACTTGTGGATGCCTTTCATTTGAGGCATGAAAGCCAAATGCAGACCCTAGCCGGCTTCCAATTTACGGCACAAAAACTGCAATAAATAACCAATAAATCCAAAACGATGTAAGACTTTATGCACTTACCTGGAAGCAAGTCTCTTGAATGCAGAGTGGCTTACTTCCAAGGAAGACATACATGTGACCAGGCTGTATGCGTCATGTGTGAAAGTGTCCTTAGAGAGCCTGCTTTAATCCCTTCTAATTGTGCTTATAGTAGAAGGATGGACAGCCTCACTTAAATGACTGTACTTGTGAAAACCTGAAGGTGAAAGTTAAGGTGGGGACCAGTTCTTTCATGTTAATTGATATGTGATGATACCAGATGTTGCGTAGTTGAAAATATGGGACATATGGCAATATTTTCTGGCACTGCCAGGTTCACTGGCAGGGGGCAAATGAGGGTCTGAATTGATATGTTCTGAGGTGCACAGGCTCTTCCCTTTTGAGAAGTGCTGAAAGGTGCAATAGGCGACAAGATCCTAAATATGGCGTGTAATGCCTTAGGTTTTCCCCAAGGGTGGAACAAACAGAACTTTTTCAGAATGTTGGGGTGGAAAGGTAGGACATACTGGTTCTCTATAATGCAGAGGGAGGAACCAGTAATAATGCACGCATGCTGCAAATGAGTCCAAAGGAGAGAAATCTGAAGCGATTTAAGAATGACCCATAATGGGTTTGTGGAATGGCTCTAGGAAAGCAGTTTTCCATTGGAAATTGCGGAGTTATAGAATGGCTGTAAAATCCATAACTATGACAAAAGCAACCATATAAGCTATTAAGGGAGGTTCTGAGGAAAAAGAAAGACTGTGTTTAAAAACTATGTTCTTGCTGTCATTATGCAGCACTCGAATTGCGCACACTTCTTTTCATTTACAATAATAGCACTTACATAGAACATCCAAGTGTTCGAAGTACTTCAAGGTTTCAGTAGCCCTGCAAAGTAGGCCACTATTACTTTCCCCATTTTGCAGACAGGGGTCTGAGGCCGAAAGAATAGTGCTGAATGCTTCTCTATTGCACTTGAACTTTCAAGTGTTCAAAGCACTTCACATGCATTATCTGTGTAATCCTTACACAGTGAGGTGAATATTATTGTATTGCAGGTGAGGGTGGTGTGACTGAGGTTTGCCTGAGGCCGTCTTGCAAGTTCATGGACCACACGGTTGCAGATTAGGAGTGCTGTCTCCTAGCCACTATGCCCCATCAGTTCTCATAACAGTGCTTGCATAAAGCTACCTAGCTGGTTAATGGCCAAGATGTGATTTGAATTATGGATTTCCCAGGTCGTAACAGTTCACTATCTTATACATTGCATTACATGATTTCTGCATCTCCATTGAAGTCAGTTTTCCATTCCGTGCAACAGGGTTAGGGGTGAGCAGTGAGATAGCTGGATTTGCATATGATATCTACAGGATAAAACTGAGCAGTGAAATGGCAAATGTGATTCAGTAGAAACAAGTGTAAAGTGATTTGTGTCAAGGCAAAACATGCCCCCCTCCATACACATATGCACTCATGGGGAACTGAACTGGGGGTAATTGGCCAGGAATGAAACCTTGGGATTGTAGCGGATAGCTTGATAAAGATATTGACCCAGTATGTGGCAGCCATGGAGAAAGGCAAATTGTGTGCTACAGATCACTATGAAAGGAATTGGAAATAAAACTTCCAGTATTATAATGTCTTTATACAAATCTGTTGTGTGGTTGCACATGCAATACTGAGCTACAGTTCTGGTCACCTCATTTCGAAAAGGATATTGTGGAACTGGGAAGGAGTCAGAAAAGGGCAAGGAGGCGAGTTACAACATTAAGGACTTTTTCGTTTAGAGAAAGGGCAAGTAAAGAGGGAACACGATCGAGGTGTATGCAATTATGTGTGGTGTGGATAAAGTGAATAGAGAAAAGCTTTTCTCCCTTGCTCATTACATTATAACTCGGGGGCATCCAGTTGAGCTGAAAGTTGGAAGATTCAGGACAATCAAAATAAAATACTTCTTCACGCTGTCACACAATACATAGTTCAGCAATGGAATTTGCTCCTGCAAGAAGTAGCGATGGCCACCAACTTGGGTGGCTTCAAAAGAGGATTAGGCAAATTAATGGAGGGTAAGGCTATCAATGACTGCTAGCTATGATGTTTATGTTCTGCTTCCACTGTCTGAGACAGTATTGCTCTGAAAGCCAATTGTTTTACGGTTGCCTCAGAAAGCATTTAGGCGGAATAGCTGCTTTTTGCTTTTGAAATGTGTTGGGCCTGGACCGTGAACTTGAAGGCTTTTGTACAGCAACTGAGAAACCAAAGAATTGCACCAGCCAACAATCAGCAGGTGTTATAAACATTATTTCTGATCTTTGAATTCACCTAAAGTATTTTCATCTCCAGCTCTTTCTTAAACTCTTGTCAGGATGAACAGCAGTCAGTTGTAACTGTATATGGGAGACTAAGTGCAGTTTTTCCTGTCCACACCAATGGCTGGCTATGCCTGCTTTTTGGCTCTAGTACACTTCCATTGCTGGTTTTTGTTTTTTTTAATTTTTTTATTAGATATTTCAACACAATAACGTTAACAAAAATACATCATCCACATTGTTTCCCCCCTCCATTTCCCTCCCCCCCAAACAGAAAACCCAACCTCCCACCGCACCCCCGGACTTCCCTCAGCTCCTTTCTCTGGTTTCTCAACACATCTTTCTGTCTGCATGTAGTAAAATTGTAAAGATCCTCAAATTATCTATCTATATATTACAATAAAGTTTGTGAATGTTTATTTAAAACCTGCCAAAGAGTCCAGTTCATTTTGTTGCTTCTTCAAGTATTTCGTAAAAGGTTCCCATTCATCTTTAAAATCACAGTTATCCTTGTCACGTAGTTTGTGTGTCAGTTTTGCCAATTCCGCATAGTCCATCAGTTTTTCTTGCCACAGTTCTTTCGTCGGGATTTCCTCATTCTTCCATCCTTGTGCTATTAAGACTCTTGCCGCCGTTGTCCATTGCTGGTTTTTGAATCCATGTGCACATGGCTTTAGCCACAACCCTGTAGTTTCTTACGAAATACTGCTATTTGGTGTGTCTTCCTCCAAGCCATCATTGATCTGACTGTAGCCTAGTTGAATTCATAGTAAAGTCCAGGTGTGTACATTTGAGATGCTGACCAGATGACAGTGCGCACAAGCAGCACCCTCCCCTCCCCCTCCCCACATGCCTTTTGCCACACACCCCTCCCTCTCTGTACAAGATGGCATTGGTTGCACCCAGCACTACCACTCTCCAGAAAAGAAATGTTTGTGGCTTAAAGCAAAATGTTGCAAGTGATGAAGGGACATAGATTTTGTCTTTGTCCTTTGGGGAGGCAGGTATTCAAATTGCTGTGAGCCACAAAAGTTGTGAGTACACAAGGAATCAGTCTACCTTTGTATTTTGTGGCCAAGTGGCCTGAAAATTGCAGACATTGCAAGCCTCTCACGCCTCCCCTCTCGGTAAGCGGCAATGACCCACTGTGTTGGGAGGCTGGGAGAGCAGTGGTTCCCTCCCTGCTCCTTCCTCTATTGCTTAGAGATATACCTTGGAAAGCTGACATCCCTCCACAAGTACTGGAATTGGAGAGCACCAGTAAAATAATTCCTTCCTTTTACAAGCTAGACCTGTCAATCACAGTGGAGCTCTTCCTCCACACCCTCTCTTCACTCTAGGTTTTGCTCACCCTTCCCCTATCATCCCACTACAGTGGTACCTCGGGTTACATACGCTTCAGGTTACAGACTCCGCTAACCCAGAAATAGTACCTCGGGTTAAGAACTTTGCTTCAGGATGAGAACAGAAATTGTGCTTCGGTGGCGCGGCGGCAGCAGGAGGCCCCATTAGCTAAAGTGGTGCTTCAGGTTAAGAACAGTTTCAGGTTAAGAACAGACCTCTGGAACGAGTTAAGTACTTAACCCGAGGTACCACTGTATAGCATAATGGTAAGTTTGGAGAATTGCTTTAGATTTCAGCAGATACATTTTTTGTTGTTGCCTGGATCATTGAGTCCCTATTTCACTCGTACCTGGCTTGTAGGATCCTGCTTTGTTTTCTTAAGGCGTTTACCTTTAGCTAAAAAGTATCTCAGATGTACTTGGAAAAATCATTAATAGCGTGCTCCCTGCCCTCAGGCTTACAATCTAAACAGACACAATACATAAGGAAAAAGGAAGGAGAAGGGGAAAGGCTTTGCCTCTTACAACCCCCAAACACCTCAGAGACATCCTGCATTACCTCGGGATTTGTGATATTCCTGAATTATATGCAAACCTCAATTTATAACACTTTCTCCAAAGGAACTTTTTATGTGAGAGAGCCGTAGGTTGGGAGTGTTGCAGATTTCCTTCCTTCAATTCTGTTGAAGGTTTATTGTGATTATTCTATCTGACAATTTCTAACATTAGCCATAGGTAAAGGGACCCCTGACCATTAGGTCCAGTCGTGGCTGACTCTGGGGTTGTGGCGCTCATCTCGCTTTACTGGCCGAGGGAGCCGGTGTACAGCTTCCGGGTCATGTGGCCAGAATGACTAAGCCGCATCTGGTGAACCAGAGCAGCACACGGAAACGCCGTTTACCTTCCCGCCGGAGCGGTACCTATTTATCTACTTGAACTTTGACGTGCTTTCAAACTGCTAGGTGGGCAGGAGCAG